TTAGGGCATATCTAGAATTGTCGAAATCGTGATTCAAAATATTGAATACATTTTCCCTAGGGCTACKTTATGACAACATCTTTATCTTGTCTATTTTCAGACTTTTTTTTATCGATTTTCTGTAGCCTTAGGAAATTGGCGTTAACTTTATAGCCAGTTTATTGTAAAACAAGGTTTTGCCATTTGGACCAAACTAAGACAGCTAGATACAGCCTTCTCGATCAACCTTAATCCAGTTAATTGATATTCACAACAATAAGTGCATCTTCCTTACATTGTAATGTATTTTATTAAGCTATTATATGTTAACAGAACCTTGTAGTGTTGAAGACATCGTCCAGTTTGTGTTGGATTCCTTGCCTTCTGGAAGCGTTGTAGTAAACAACCATTTAACTGGAGCACTGGTGCAAGTTGTCAAGGGTGAGTGAGTATATGAAGTCACTTTATAAAGTAGATTTTGTGACGTTCCGGGGGGTACTCTTGCCCGTTTAGGGTAGGGATGTGCCGCTGAGCCCTCTGAACCCTGACCCTGTTCCAGAGTATACTGCATACTGTATACTGCAGAGTGATTACTGTTATGATCCAATCAAAAGCTCTAACACGGCAGTGTCACGCTCAGACCCAGCAATTCTAATGATTGTCGTATAGAAACTTTGCTATGTGGTTCATTTTAAAGTTTTAATTTGTTTGGTAGATTTCTAAGATGATGCGTTTGAACCTTTTCATTTCATACCCAAATCATTTGTTTATTAACCAATTCCATTTCTGTTCCAAGCAATGGGTGCGGCGGAAGGATTGCCAAAAGACGTTACAGTCGATGAAAATGAACTGATGAACAGAATCAAGAGTGCTTTGGACTACGGGGAATATGTGTACGCTCACTTCATGTTGGGTTTCATTTTACAAAAGCAGGAGAAATGCAAGGAGGGCGAGGGAAACCGAATCATCAAGGAAATAAAAAAAAAAGTTGGAGAGGAGAAGTTTAAGGCAAGTAAAGGTTATGAACAATGACTGCCGGTTTCAAGCAGCAGCAATAGAAACAATGATAAGAATGGCAACAGGAAATAAAAGACGTAATTTGGTTGGCGGTTAAAAAAAACAACAACAAAAGTTACAACAGTAATACAGTAAAACAAGAGTTAACACAATATAACAAATAAAATTGTAAACATTAAAGCTACAAGGACGAAAACGGTAACATCAACATCAACAACGACAATAAAAACACAACAACTATTAATTACAACAACAACAACAACAACAACAACAATACAACTAAATCAGTACAACAACAACAAAAACAAAAACAACCACAACCAACCATAACCATAACAACAACAAAAACATTCAAAATATCCTCTGAATTGCATTATGAAATTGGGAAAGTAGATAAGGCCAAGATAATTTTAAAAACGGTCTATGAGGAACTCACTGAACTTACTGACAGAATATATCTTTTCTCGTTAGAAACTTATCGCTGCAGACGGGGATGTGTCGCTGGTTTTTACAATAGACACGACGGAGAGTATGAATAAAGGAATTGAGGATGCTAAAAAGATTGCTACAGCAATTGCAGGATACGAGAGAAAAAACAAAGTGAACTATATCCTGTCACGTTTAAACGACCCAAGTAAGACATCTTGTTGCTCCTCGTAAAACCTAAAATAAGAAATGTTTTTTTTCCATTTTAGGCGACGCGTCATTCTCTTTGGTAGCATTTCTTTGTTTATTGACAAGAACTGTTACATGCAAACCCCAAGACTTCTTATAGTTTCTCGTAGGACTTAGCTCTTTATTTTTCATTTTCCCTTAAGAAGTGTTGCATGCTAGACTATATATCATTTTCTTGAATAGTCTTGCTTTATTTAACAGTAACGGTTGGGAACCAATCCACGTGTAATGGCTTTGAAGAATATTTGTTCATTACCAGTAATATTGCAAAGTTGGAAACCTAGCCGCAAAAACTAGCTATCTAGCCTTATTCAATATATATATATGTATATGAAGAAAATTTACTCAAAAAGGKTCTTACTTCTTAAGACCCCTTTGGTGTGATATTCGGATTGAAGACCTTTTAAACACTGTGTTTGAATTTGAAGTTTTCCCATTTTTTAAAATCAATAGACCATACCCMTTTCCTCTTTAAGACCTCTTTCATCTAAATATTCTTCATATGGTTATGAGCATTGAATAAATGGTGTTTTTTTTTCTTAAAAGATACTGGTCCTGTCACTCAGTATAAACAGAGGTCGATGTTYGAGTTTGCTATAAGCGTTCTTTATGCAATGGGAGGTCGCGATTGTCCAGAGCCAACATTCAAAGCTATCATCGAAGCAATTAGGATTGGCAATCCACTAGCAGGTTCWCCCATGTATGTTTTTACTGATGCACCGCCCAAGGCTGTTGGGGAGTACACTCGTGAAAATGCCATCAAGGAGGCGTTGAATTACAACATGCATATCAATTTTTTCTTCACTAATCCTTCCGCGGAATGCGCTTCAAGGCAAACATCGCCCGAAAAGAGTGCCGACTTTCATAAGATTATGGCGGACACAGGAGGCGTGGCGTTGTTCTTTGAAGATGCCACAACTATGTCTAAAATTGAGCCGTTGGTCAAAGCAGATTTAGATGGATCAACTATCGTTGCTTCGGGAGGCAGCAGCGGTAGCGCAAGGCGTMRAAGAGATTTCCTCAGCCTTGTAGCAAGAACCTCCAACGATGTTTCCTTTCCTGTAGACGAAAGTATGAAGAAACTTATCGTTACCATTTCTGCGAAATCCAATTTTGAACATGGGGTACAACTGATCGATCCTAGTAGCAATACCATCCCAGAGACCTCAAAATCGCAATACGGTAAACTGTGGCTCGTCGATGAGCCATCGAAAGGCCAGTGGAGACTCGCAGTAGCCTCAAGCGTTGAAGGACTCTCATACCAGGTAAAGATCTGTAACGAATTCAATACCGCATTAACAGTAATAATTGCTAGAATAGACAAGTTTTGCTTAAGGCTCGATTACACGGTGCAACTTTCTCTACAACTTGCACAAGTCGCAAGAGTGTCTACACGGTGCAACGGAGACGCAATTGTTGCCAAAATTAAAACGAATTCTACTTTTCGCAACGATTGCTGCTACTTGTCTCGTAACATTTCAAAATGCGCTGCAGGTTACACGCTGCAATGCTTTATGCAAATCGTGTCGCAACGCTGTTGCGACGCGAGTTGCAGAGAAAATTGCTCATTGTAATTGCGCCTTTAACCTTAAGCCATCTTTATTTTCCCACAAGGAGTGACCGTATTCTATAGCAACGCCAATGAAAATTGTTGACGTTTTGATGTTCTTGTTGTTTTAACAGAGTACAGATAACATATAGAGTGACAACTTTAGCGCACGGAAAATATCACGTGACCTGATATTGGGTGGGAATGCATTTTGGGTTGGTCGTTTAATTCTTCTTCTTTTGTGTTTTATTTTAGGTCAAGAGCAGTGCTATACTGAACATCGACTTTGACCAAATATTTTTCAGAACTGTGAAACCATCTGGGGACATAGTTTCGATATCCAATCCACTCATTGGTAAATAGACGACAATATTTTCCATTTAATTTATCATTTATTGAAAATGGTTAAAGACATGCATTCAGAAAATTGGCGAGAAATTCATCTAAAAGGAATGAAGTGAGTGCCAGTACTTTTATTACTATTTCAGAAATTTTTTCTTTTAGTTTGTCTTTATAACTTATGCTTATATTAAGCGTTTAAGTATCTATTCATAAACAAATATTTTGAATCTTTTGTCCTTTTGATATTTGGGAAAGCTTTTGAGTTAATGAGTAATGAGTCAGTGTTCGATGTTTTTCACTCATGACTTTCCAAGCATGCGCAGTACGCAGCTTTTCGGTGTTCAACATCTCAAAATACAATCTCGTACCCAGAGCCATTATTTCTTACTGCGCATGCTCGACAAAAAATAAATACTCATTTATCTTGTTATTGTTTATTGTTTTGTTATTGTATGCAGGCGAAAAAGCAACGATGAAACTTATCCTTTCTCAGCCTTCTCGTCTCAATATGGCGTCACTGAAAGTTGATCTCATCAACGCACACGGAGCAAGCATCAAGACTTTGTCAATGAATGGTGTCACTGCCTCTTTCGACCTTCCATCCGCTGGAGCCTTTAGGATCCGCCTCTCGGGGAAAACGCTCACCGGTGCTGCATTCCAGAGGACATCACGTGAGATTCGCCCACAAGCTGCTATCATTCGCACTCAGTTAGACCAGGGTCTTCTTAAAGTACGCCCAGCTGTGAGAACTCCTCTTTTTGTTGCCATTGACTACCTCGGCAGCGAAAGCAAGACGTTCAATTTGAAGGTAACGACGTCTCCTTCCAGCGTGAATATCTGGACAAGAAGTTCTATAGAAGTTACTRATGCTGGCCCAGCGGAATTCAGCGTTGATCTCACGACCCTTTCCAGTACTCCACAAGGCTCAGTTGTCAAAGTTTATGTACAAGCGAAGAGCGAAGACATAGAGCTTAACAATGTAGCTCAGCTAATGGTGAAATACTAAAAAAAAAAGATAAAATAAAGATAAAGCAACACTAAAATGTAATAACTAAAAGTCGTAAAGATTTTCGAGAGCAAGCTTAAATTAAGGCAAATAAGGGGCAGAAGGGACTTCACGTTAAGCAAAACATAACCAAAAACTTTAATATGAAATCCAGCGAAGAAAAGGCGTTCATCTTACAGCCAACTGTGTCTCTAAATACAAACTGTGCCATTCTTATTAAACATTTACCTCCTAATTAGATTACCTTTTACCCCCACCCCTCAATGCACACCCACTCACCTCTTTGAGCTCCCTCCAGATTGTGTTGTGGTTCGGTGGGTGTTTGAAACACACGACACGTGCCACTTGTCCTATTTCCCTGTCATTCCCTTGTCATTCCCTCTCATCTCTTGTCATTCCCTTGTCATTCCCTGTCATTCCCTCTCATCTCTTGTCATTCCCTGTCATTCCCTCTCATCTCTTGTCATTTCCTTGTCATGTTTATCTGATTCATGTTTGATTATTATAGCGTATGTAACGAGTTGTATGGAATTTCATGTCAACTTGCTGTCCCAAACTCCCTCCCCACTAGGGAGGGAGGGAGTTTGGGATCGACACTAAGGACGGCTGCAAACCGCTGCAAAGGAGACTACTGCCAGTGGAGCTCACTRGAGCCACAATGAGAGGTCTTTTGATCTATGACGGAAATTTTCTATTTATCTTAATAAGTTGAGGATATTGTGTATTTTATTTATCTTTACGGAGGGTTTATTCTTGCATYTTTACTACTGTTTTCTTTAAAATGAAAGTCTAAGTTTCTAAAAACACGTAGCTAAATAAAACAGTGAATCAAGAAGGCTAGGGTTATTACTGAGGCAGGTAAGCTGATCATATTTACCATTCGCCTGTAATGTAGACCAAGTTTGGACTACTTCCCTTGTTCGTTTGGAATTTTGAATATTGTTTTTCAAAATATATTTTTAGTATATATTTTTAATTGAGTTTTTGCATAGCTTTTTTGTGTTTTTGGGAGAAAAAAAATTGATTACGACAGACGTATAGAAATTGATCGTTTTCAGAGAGTTTAAGCAGCTTTGACATTACAAAACGGCAAAAATAATTAATTTTCTTCAATAAACACTTTAACCTTTTCCCTCATATATAAGCTTTATTGATGCTTTTCTGTTCAATCTGCAGTTAAGTTACAGTTTTGATATAGTTCTTCCTAATACTACGTACATTTACTTCAGTCAATACATTCATTCTGTCAGTTATATATTCAATTCCGTCAGTTACATATTCTGGTTTCACAACACAATCAGTTTTATTTGACCATCAAATGAGCTACGAGATTCAGCTTGATGCTTCCACTGRAAGCACGAAGATGGATCTTGACAATTTTACCAACTGGRGTATCTGCTGGAGCWGTCAAACGGACAGAAATGTATGCTGGGCGTGYATTWTTCACACTGACGGAACTTCTGACCGAGACTTTCACATTTGATGGAGCTACGGATGCCTTCACTGAGAACGTCTTGGTTCCACTACCTGCATAGTCTATTGCAGCACGGAAAGACGATACTTTACCWCGATTGATGGTCAGGAGACTCTGGTGGATCTGAGTACGAAGGATGGCAGGTTGTGGTTTGATTTCTTCACGTGACATTCTCTGGAATGCGTTACCGCTGTGCGTCTTGCCCGACAGGCGGATCTTGAAAGATGTAGCAGAAGGGAGGTCGAAGGCGGCGGTGTCACCTACGRTCGCCAAATTCTTGATGCTTGCTCCGTGTTCGTTGACGAGTTCAGCTTTCAATGATGCAACGTTGAGACGTGAAGTTTGTGGTAGAACGATCTTTACTGTTGCTTTTTCACCTGGAAAGAATTAAAATTAGTCAGTTAATTCGTGGTTAAAACAACTTTAGCCTTCTAACAAACATGCGAACTCTGTGTCTGCGAGCTGCACGCTGTAATTTGGTCTTTCGCTGCCATCAAGCCAAACCTAATCAGTCGTTACCTTTCGTATTTTTGAATGGACGCAGCGAAAAACCAAGTTTCAGCGGGCAACTCGGAGATACAGCGTTTGCATGTTTATGAAAATTGCAGTAAGCATTTATATAGCTTTTTTTGTAATAAAAAGTGGCTATTTTTGGCACTTCCTCCCATGATCCTTGCCTCTCGTTTGAGCTTTCTTGTTGACTACTTTTGTTCGTGAAGATGAGGACCAATAAAAAAGCTGCTAAACTAGCAAATATCTCATTAATAAAATGCTTCAGGTCCGTTCAGTTCTTAACAAGCTAGTCAGCATTGAACTATATCTTACCAATGAGAGGATTAGATATTGGGACAACCATTCCAGWCGGTTTCAGAGTCTTGACAAACATCTGGTCAAACTCGATGTTGGACAAAGAGCTGGCCTTGATCTGATATRGGAAAGTACATTAAAAAACATTAGCCTGTGCTTTTGAGAAAGCTGCCTGTTTATGACAATTAACTCAAGATACCTGATATGATAGTCCACCAACATTTGCTGAGACAGATAGTCTCCAGGTTCCTTTCTTTGGACTCTTGATCAACCAAAGCCTTCCTTGGTACATACCCAATGTTACAGCTACGTTTTTACCACTGGAATCGACGAGATTTACRTTATTCCAGTTGGATTGTGCCGAGATGGAGACGACCAGGTTTTCAACGCTTYCGTCGACAGGGAAAGCAACATCACGTGACGCTCGTTCCCAAAGRCCAAAGAGATCTCTTCCRCGTCTTGAACTACTACTTCCTCCAGATGAAATAATGGTAGAACCGTCCAGGTCGGCTTTGACAAGGGCATCGGCACTACTRATGGCYGAAGCTGTCTGGAAAAATAGACTCAAACCACCGGTATCTTCCATTATGGCCTTGTAATCAGCACTATTTGCTGGATTACCACAACCCTTGGTACTAAAGAAAAAATGTACTGGTATCATGTAGTCCAGGGCATATCCAATGGCGTTATCTCTATTGTATTCTCCTTTGGTCTTTGGAGGGGCAKCAGTGAAGACATACATGGGTGAACTTGGTAGTGGATCTCCAACCTTGATAGCATCGATGATCCCATTAAATGTCAGCTCATTGCAGTCACCTCCCCCCTTAGCTCGAAGGCCATTGATGGCTGTCACAAATCTTGAGAGGCTTGCATAATCGTATTTTGTGACAGGACCACTGCCTGCAATGAAAGAAAATGTATTTATATATAAAAAAGATTTATAGGTTTGCTGGAAACGTTATTTTTCGTTTGTAATAGACCTCATTAATTGTGGCGTAATGTACTGATGGGTTGCAAGCATTCCCAAGAGAGTTAAAAGACAAAAACATGGCGGCCATTGYGGTACCGTTAACAATGGATGCTAATGAGAAATCTTTTGTTAAATGGTAYTTAGAATTCCTATTTCAGACCTCGYGTCATTCCCTAGAAAATAAGTTAAGTAATATCCATCTTCAGGTGTCTTTTCGTGTACAACCGTTGAACGAAGATATGATACTCATGGGAATGACACATTGTCTGTAATGRAAAAACAAGATTGCAGGAAGGGATATATATACGTATATATATTATGCCACGTACGTGGATCGTTGTATGGAGAGAGAATGTAATCCACTTTTCCTTTCCTCTTGTAACTAGCGATGGCTTTWGCAATCTCTTTGGCCTGTTGAATTTCTTCCTTCATACTTCCAGTCGTGTCGACAACGAAGAGAAGAGAGACATCTCCGTCCACGGCCAGGAAATCCTTAAATTAAAAAAAAAGAAAAAAAGAAACGCTAAACGGTAGTGGCAGAGGAACAGTTTTCTTCCTTAATTCTGCTTTATTTTCCTTAAACACAATCCTKTTTTCGCAAAAAGTATCTTTTTCGTTTTACTGATACCTTRAATTTATCTTCTCCMAGAGCGTCTTTGATTTCTTCAATAATCTTATCGCCAGTACCATGACAATCCTCTTGTTTGTCTAGAATGAATCCCAACATGGTTCGTGCAAAAGTGTGTCCTTTGTGATTCATAGCTTTCTGTATTCTATCAATCATATCAGCTTTGTCGACTTTGACATTCTTTGGGATACCTTTTGCTGCTCCCATACCTGATGATAATGATATGCGAATTAGTGGGTGTATATATACTTAATAACAAATAATTTTGCAATGCCTTTCCATTGTTTTCTTACCTTTGATAACTTGGAAGAGAGCTCCCACCAAATGGTTGTTCACCTCAACGCTACCTTTAGGCATGGCATCAAGAACATACTGTACAATATCATCAATGCTACATGGCTCTGCAATGCAAGCAGATAATATATATAATACGTTCAGTACATACSTTACCAACGATAAAAAACTAATAATCATATGTCATTTGTGCATTTGTGCATTTTTTACTTTCCTATTTCTAATACACTATTTTGCTTCTTTGGTTTCTGTGGTATTCCGCTAAGCCCTTCTTTGATATGSCAAGAATGTTAGTAATACAAATACAGTAATATTTCAGTCGGCGAGAACAAAAAAAAGCCTCACTTGGTTCACATTTCTGTGTGTTACATCCTTTTGTCTCTTCTGCCGGTCCAGAACATGGTTTTCCGCCGTGTGCAGGTGGTGGGTTGGTGCAAGTACGGGTTCTCTTCTGTGTCCCTCCGCCACATTTCTTGCTGCATGCTGACCACGCTGAGTATGGTGTATAGCCTCCGTCAACTTTTGTTTGGGAAAAATGAGATAAATTAGCTCTTGCTATACGAAAGACACACA